CAAACGGGCGAAATCGGACTGTAACCACGCCCACTTCCCATATAACGGTAATTTCCAGAAGTAAGAAAACTGCGATATTTTACTAACTACTGAAGATAATTCACTCAAAATTCATATTTCCAATAATTTTCAGACAAAACAAAAGAAGAATATTATAAATTTTGGGAAAATGGGCGTAGCCACGCCCACTTATAGTTACATGTGTATATCTTGGTAACCGCTGCACCAATTTCTTCCAAACTTGGCACAGTTGTTGGCCTTGGTACAGCATAAAAAACCGCCGAAACTTTTTAAAATCGGACAATAACCACGCCCACATCCCATATAACGGTAATTTAGAGAAATACAAAATCTTCGATAAATCAGTAAATATTGAAGCTAATTTATTCAAAATTGATGCTTGCAACAATTCTTTACCAAGAAATACGTTTATGGTAAAATTTTGGAAAATGGGCGTGGCACCGCCCACTTATGATCACATATAAGTATATCGGTAACCGTTCTACCAATTTGTACCAAACTCGGTATGGTTATTGTACTTGCCACGTGAAAGCAAAACGTTGAAAATTATTGAAATCGGACTAAAATTACGGCCGCTTTTCATATAACGGTAAATTTCAGAAATGCTTGAAACTGCAATATTTCGAAATTTAAGGACGCTAATTTACTCAAAATTGATACAACCCGTCTTACCATCTAGCGGTAGGTTTTGGAAAGGTGAAAAAAACATATATTTAATACTTGTTCGGCTCCACCCGAACTTAGACTTTCTTACTTGTTTAAGTTAAACTTTTTTGTTATTTTTTTTTATAAAAATATGGTTCACTCCGTAACCAGAACTTAGAAAAATTCAAGAAAATTTCATCTAAATTTTGAAGTTTATAGCCCGAATATTTTAAAAAATTCTGGATATGTATGTAAATCTAATAAAACAGGTGCACGTTTTAAGCGGCTAAAAATCGCTTAGATTTTTAATGATATTTTTTTTTGCGGCTTTTGCTAATTCTTTCGAGCTTGAAAAATATTTCACGCTGCATTTTAGAACGTGTAGTAGATGAGATATTAAAACATCGATGTATCGTTTTTATAACCGATATTTTTTAACATCGATGTTTGTTGCGGGAACATAGATGTTTTTAAGAGCGATGTTGCATCCCTAATTAAAGCTAGAACTCTCAACTACTATGTATCTCTGAATATACCATCCTGCACCTTGACTTGATAACCACTTAGTTATTTGTTATAAACTTTTATTTTTATTCTTTTTTTTTTAAGGTAGGAAATCAGGGTTCGTATTTGCACACACATGTGCAGCACATCCNCAGGGTTCGTATTTGCACACATATGTGCAGCACATCCTAACATTTTACGCTCACATACGTGTGCTGTGCATATAAAAAATTAAAAACTTGCTCACATCACATGTGTGTGCCGTTTGGTAGAAAGCACGGGCACATGTGTGTACTTTATTTTTACCTTCCTTTTATTAGTTCGGGATGTAACTATGTAATATTGATGCGCCTAAAAGATGCAGCGATTTCTATTCTCAAGTTACATACCTGATGACAGTACGAATGGCAATTATAATAGGGAGGTTTTAGTTTTTTAAACTATAATTTTATTAGAGCAGGTGTGAGAGTCGAGTAGCGAAAGCGCTGGCTGTCTGTTGTGATTGCAGCTTTTCGACGTTAAGCTTTCCTTGCATATTTGGGCGCACATTTTTTGCTGCACAGAGGCGGGTGCGTATTTTGGCTGCAACAAGATAGTGGTCCGAGTCGATGCCTGCTATCACCTTATATTAATTCGCCTTGCTTATACACTTCGAATTCTAACTCAAATCTTACAATAATTTTTTAATATGTTCTCTGTAATATAAAAAACAAACAACATCTCACTTTTTATTGAATTGTCTTTCAAAAAATAACGTTTAATGCCAGTAGAACTTGGGAGCATCGTACGATTGCTCGGTGAGTACTCCCTTGGGAGTATACGAATACTCCCCATTGCTCCCTATGCTTCTGTGTATAAGCATGTAATTTTGTATACTCCCTTTAACATTGGATGTCCTAGGAGGGGGAGTAATCCCTTTTACCTCCTAAACGAGCAATCGGGGAGCACACACAGAATTATCATCCCACAAACCTCCTAATAGAGCAATACGGGAGTACTCCCATAGTTACCTCCCAGAAACCTCCCAAAACGACAACAAGGGAGTGCACATAGAAAACATCCCATATTCCTCCCGAACGAGCAATAAAGGAGTGCTCCCATTAGAGATATCCCGAAAGCCTCCTGTAGGAGTAATAAGAGTGCAATGATAACGAACATTTTACATTAGCCAAATAGATTTTGCTATTTATTAAATTTTTTTATTTAACTTTTTAATCACGTGCATTTGTGCAATATTACAAGATCTTAAAAATAAAACATAAATGATACGTCTTACATAATTGCTTAAATTTAGAATTATATTGCAGAGAAATCATATGAAATTAAAACATAATAATAAAACGGTAAGATAAGATTTGAATTATATGCACCTATATGAACATATAAGTATGTACTCCTATATGATTTCCTGGGTGTCAAGGATGCTTGCCTGTCCAGGAATCCACCAAGCGGGGAAATTGTGAAGGTGACTTTGCTTATCTGACATCTTTGTCACCCATGCGATGTTTAAACCCCGGGGTAACACTTAAATGCTGACATTAATTTGCGCAATCTAAAAAGTATATAACGGTGCATTTATAAGTAATACAATACATACTTAATATATTTAAACAAAAGTTGAAGTACATACCAACGGACTTTTATCAAAATCTGTGTGCAATCCAAATTAAATTATTGTGTCCTCCTTATGCTTCTATAAGAAATATTTTCTGTTGTTTTTTTTTGTATGATAAATTCTTTCGAAAACACAAATTTCTTTTGAGTGAGGTGCGTATTGCTCTCCTATCAATCAAAAAGAATACTCTTGGATTTCTCGCTTAGGAGACATCACTTTTTGCTCCTAAGCGAGTAATAACGGAGTACAAAACCGACAAATCTCGCTTATTGCTCCCAAATCATGCCTCAGGGAGCATTCTTTAATTGCTCGCTTAGGAGATCTCTCACTAAGCTCCTAAGCGAGCAATACAGGAGTAAAAAACCAAGAAATCTCGTTTACTGCTCCCAAATCATGCCTCAGGGAGCATTATTTCGTCGCTCGCTTAGGAGATCTCTTATTTGACTCCTAAACGAGTAATAAAGGAATACAAAATCGACAAATCTCTCTTATTGCTCAGAAATCAGGTTAAGGGGAGTACTCTTTTCTTCCTCACATAGGGAGATCTCCCTTCAAGTTCTAGTGGGATAAACAAATTCTTTTAAAAATATATTATGTGCATGTGC